AGTTACAGTGAGTAACTACCCGCCTGGCACTTAGTTAGGGGGTTTTATTCCCTCCCTAACTTCAGGGAAAAATCCCTACCTGGGGAAACAACCTTTCTCAGAGAGGTGACCTTGGTTAAAACACATAGTGCCAAGAAGGTGAGCAAATATATTAAGAACAGTATGCCATATATGCCAGGTCCCTTGAAACAGCAAGGATGGACCGGCTCCCGGCACTCCATGTTCCTTATACTTCTAGAGTAGGTGACCCATAACCAACATATTAAAATTTAAAAGAAGGTGGTGTTCATGATACGGAAATATACCGGATAGAAAGGCTTACACTCTACCCGTGAGAGCAAGAATGGCTGAGACAGCACTGTTATTTCGCTCTATTGTCTGGCTTGTTATAAACGATACTGGCTCAATGTAGAAGATGTCTGTTTTCTCCATTTTAAATAGATGCACTTTTGAGATTCCAAAATGTCTCTTCTAGTTGCACAGATTTGTTAGTGCTCAATACAAAAGTTGGATAATGATGGTGGTGGGAATAGAGTGGAGGTGATGGGGTAAGGGTGGCTGCGTCTGGAATCGGATTCTAGGAGCAGCCCTTAGGAATGACTTGGAAAGGAAAACACTCTAGGCTGGAAAGAGAATTTGGCCACTGCTGCTACTGTAGGAGCTGGAAGGTGTTTCCTCACTGTATCAGGGGAGGTGCCAGCGCAGTGAGTGTGATGCTTTTGCCATTAGCTCAGTGTGATGTTTTTGCCATTAGCAATGATAAGCCATTCTATCGTCCGTTATCAATGTGGCTTCCTCCACATTTTTTTAGAGCACTCCAGAGATAAAGCACTGGTAATTAACACACCTGCAACTTGTTCTCCTTGGCTCCCCAGTCACAGAGCCAACTGTGGATTCGGCTGTGTGAAGAGGGCAATTCAGCTTTGTAGGCAGGGTGGGGTGGCGGGGGGTGGGGGTGGAGAGGCTTGTGTCTCCACAGGCAGCACCAGGCTGATGGCTGCCGCTTATTAGGCCTTTGAAAATTGGGCGCTGTCCGTCAGTCTTAGCACAGTCTCCCCAGGATTTCAACGAGTTGGACACAAAACTGATCAGGGTAACAGCAAGAATCAAATAAGAAACAAGAAACAAGGTAGAAAAGGGGGTTTCTTATATTGCTCACTTAAGTCTGGCATAAATGAAAATGGGTATAGAGTATTGCTGAAAGATAGTAACTAGTCTTTTGGGGTGATTACTTTGTAGAGCATACAGATGTTGAATTACAGTGGAACTTATATAGTGGTATGTACCAACTTTATATAATATATATCAACTTATATATTGTTATATACCAAATTTACCGCAATAAAAAAATTTTAAAAATATAATGGAACCACCACCATTTCAAACATAGTTCTTTTCATTTTCTCTCCTAATTTTCTTTGGGCAAAAGTTAATTTCTGTTCTTGTAAAGAATTAATTTTCAAAAGAAAATTTTCTTCTGTCATTTCCTGACTGACTTATTAAAAAAACTTCCAAATCCAAATAAGATGACTGCAACTAGTAAAAAGGAAACTATGAAACATTTTTTTCAGGGAAATGGTTTTTCAGAATGTTTTTTGGCAGAGGGAAAAGCTAATTATAAAACCTTTGCTGTCCAGAAAAGAAATGTCAAAATAAAACAAATGCTGTCATACACAGATGGTAAATCTCACTTTATTATTCATTATTGAACAAAAATAACTGTCAAAAAGTCACGGAAAAACAGCGGTTAGCCAAAGATCTGAGCAAAAGCATTAAGTATACGACCATGAAGCCTCGTCCATATCCAGCTGATAAAAATTAAGATGGAACCGTGACAGCAACATTGGCTTTTAGGACTACTCCCCACACGATGTAATGTTGTGGCTGGGCTGTGGCAGGCTGCCCTGAACCATCAACATATATCACCATCTCACTGCCCCCAGGGATCTTTCAACCTGGCTGCCCCAAGACATCCTCCTCTCTGCGTTGGGGATCATGGAAGGAAAAGCAGGGAACGCCCCAGCAGCCTTGCACAGGGTCTGGACTTCCCTCTGAACAGGGCCACCAGTGTGAGTGTGACAGATGAGTAGACATGATTTCAAATACCAAGAAGCCTCTTTGTCCAAACAAAGGGCCTGCTTGGTGATGGCTGCTTCTTTTAGACAAAATTTTTTTTACATGATGAATATGTACATTGGAGAGTTAACATGTAGCTTAGTAGTTCTTCTAAAAGGTTAGGTAAATTAGATCTTCTCCAACTAAAAAGATTTTCGAGAAAATATCTACCCAGATACTCAGTTTACAGCCTGATGTTCTCTTTCCCGTCTGCGCTACATTCAACCATTTTTGATTGAATGTGCATTCACTTCTGCCAAGTGTATCTTTCCAGTGGGTTTCCAATCCAGCCACACTGCCACGGGTCTGCCACACCCCTCACCTGGCCTGCCACTCCCCTTCACGTTGCTCTCAGGGGCATCTTGGTAAAGCCCTGAACCAACAGGCCACATCTGTGTTTAAAGACCTCTGATTGCTTTCCAGTCAGGAA